TAAGGTTTATGTGAATGCGTGCATCTAGGCTTTCACGGGCTCGACCATGCATGTCTCTCATGCCCCCATGCCCATGCCTCATTCTCCATGCCCCAAACCTGCATGCCAGTTCCACATGACGCCTCGTTTGCAGCAGCATGCCATCCACCCCGTGGAGGCTCAGCTGTTTCCTTCCTTCCGCCGCCTCTGCTGCTGATGCACAGAATGGCTACTCCACTCCACTCGTACAGCTGCCTATTTGCCCATCGTACACTTATACCTCTCTCCCTGCCTCACCACCAGAATCTCTTGCATTTTGACTGCAGTCAGTGTTGAGCTGAATTCATGCCTCCTTCTCCCCACTCGGCCCATCTCACTCCTCCAGTCATAAGCGATTTCGCTGGTTCCCCACTCTTTCTAATTCCCCCACTACTCTGCCCTGTTATTATTTTCCCCTTCTTCCCTGTGATTGGGTTCCCCATATGCCTACTTATAACATTTGTCATCTTCCCTGTCCTTCCTGCCCATGTCTGCATTGCAGAGGCTCCAGCAATCACGTGTCCAATAGTAGCGAATTTCTTGAGCATCACGTGGACCTGCTACACCCTGAACACCCTACATAATTAGTCATGCCAAGCAGTAGATCCCATGCTACTACAACAGGCTACAAAACTACTCTATTGCATGAGACTTGTGTTGAGGCAAGAGTATTGTATGATGAGAACCAACTGTGCTCGAGCACGACACGATATTATAGCCCACTCAATCAAGATACGGGTGCCTCTTTTGAAATGGGTAAAAAGAGCTGCAGCGAGCACATAGCTGTGCCTTGCCTCACAACCGTCCATGTACTGCGGGATGCTGTTAGAGTTATATGACGAGTTATCGAAATGTTCAGTACGCAGGGCAACCGAAAACCGCGGCACATGATGCCGGATTGATTAAGATAGACTTCTAAAAATCCCCACGCCTATTTCACTTGGATGGGCTTCTTCTTCCCTTGGGCGATACTGGGAAGCCTCACGCTCAATGGGAGGTCAGGGTTGAAACGAGATTCTGGCAACAGCACGGATGAAAGGAGCCATGCGTGGGAAGGGGGGAGTGAGTGGGCAAAAGAAGGACAAATCTGCGGGTGTTGAATGAGGGGTGTTGTACATATAATGGTTACAGCACCCAGTTGCTGAAATGTGTACAAGGCAATAACACCACACACAAGCCCTCCCACAAAAAAGTGTGCTTACCACCAGCCATGGTCCTTCTTACCACTAAGCTCCAAGCCCACATACAGGTGTGGCAAGGTTTGCTCACCAGCCACGGTCGGAGAACCCTCCTACGCTTGATGAGACTTGCGTTTACGCCCGCACCGCCATTTCGTGCCGCTTGCATCAGCGCAGATTGGTTGGCAATTCCCCTGCGGGAGTGGTGTGGGGAAAGGACAGATGGAGCATTAGCGTATCATAGGTCCAGTTGATCAACTGGCCCAGCAAGTGGCAGATGGCATGTGGGATTACAGCAACAAGGAGGGCTCGATGCAAGGCATTGATACACATAAGCTGTGCCACTACTTGACGTGGCACAGGAATTAGCAAATGCGTTTTGGAAGCACGACAACGAACCCAGCAAGCAGCGACGGGCTGGTGTAGGTCGCCTCTTGTGTTTGGGTGCACCAGACCGAGTCGTGCTGCCTTGGCATCCAGGCGAAAATACGAGGTCAGTGGTCATGATCGGGATGCTGCCTTCAGGCTCAACTGAAACGGTGCTGGAGGGTCCGGTCAAGGTGCGTTGGCGCTGCGCACGGGTGTGCTCACTTCGTTCCTCATCGTCAACACCATCGACACCCTCTCCCTCTCCGTTCCTCTCAGACTCCCCAACATCCGCTGCACCTTGTGCCAACCATTCCCGCATAATGTTGTCCACCCATGACCAGTCCATAGGTCCTAATATCCTTTCCTTTCGGCCCCTCTGCACACGCGTCAATTTCCGCACCCGGATGCGGTATGCCTTGACGAGCCGGTCCATGCAGCTGTTCCAATGCAGCACGGCCAAGGCTATGCGAGCCTCCATGCTGCCTCTGAACCGCATGCGCTTGGGTGCATACTTGCAAACAAGTGAGTGGAAGGACTCGTTCAGTGAGCTGTTTGCGCCAAGAGTCAATGATGCTACCTGAGTTGGCCCTAGCCGTGTTCTGAACCACTCACGAACAGCCAAGTGGGTTGGTGATCCAAAAGCGTATACAGCACTCTCTTCCCCCCACCCTTCAGAAATACAGCGTGGAGGCATTGTTCCCACACGTGCGCAGCGTGTATGGTCACCTGCCCAATGATCTGCAGCAAGCCCCAACTCCTCAGACACCTGCTCTGGCGTCATTGGATCTCCCTCGCTGGCTTTGGTGGCATTCCGCATCATGCAGTGCTTGAAATGCACGCTGAAGCGTTGACCAAGAGTGAACACCGGCTTTTTGCTTCCATCGCTCTCTCCAGCAAGGGTCGCATTGGCACCTTCCCCACGTGCCCGCTTCTTTGAGGTACGTTTTGACCACCGTCGCTGCTCCTTGCTCTTGATGGTGGAAATGGCAGCTTGCTCTCCTGCAAGTCACCAATGAATGAGCATCAGGGCATAAGCGGGTGATTGTGTGCCGTGGTAAAGCAAACCACACTTGCCGTGTGCATCACTGTATGAAGAGGTGGGAGGAGTTTGATTCAACCGAGTGTTTGGCTGGAGTGGTGAAGATGAGCTGGCATATCGGGCAGGAGTGGTGGTAATGAGGTGTGTATGGGGCAGTGGTGGTTGAGATGATCTCTGTGAGGGGCTGGAGTGGTGATAATGAGCTATGAATGGGGCTGGAGTAGTGGAGATGAGGTGTGTGTGTTACTGGAGTGGTTATAATGAGATATGAACAGGGCTGGAGTGGTGGAACTGAGGTGAGGGTGGCTGGAGTGGTGGTAGTGAGGGGTTTGTGGAGCAAAGTGGTGGTGAAGACGAGCTGTGTGAGGGGCTGGAGTGGTGATAATGAGCTATGAATGAGGCTGGAGTGGTGATAATGAGGTGTGTGTGGGGCAGTAATGGTGGTAATGAGCTATATGAGGGGCTCAAGAGGTGGTAAGTGGATGTGTGTGGGGCAGTAGTGATGGTAATGAAATGTGTATGGGGCAGCTGTGGTGAAGATGAGCTGTGTGAGGGGCTGAGTGGTTATAATGAGCTATGAACAGGGCTGGTGTGGTGGAAATGAGGTGTGTGTGGCTGGGATGGTGGTAGTGAGGGGTGTGTGGAGCAGAGTGGTGGTGAAGACGAGCTGTGTGAGGGACTGGAGTGGTGATAATGAGTTTTGAATGGGGCTGGAGTGCTGGAAATGAGGTGTGTGTGTGACTGGAGTGGTGAAGATGAGCTATGTGTGGGGCAGAAATGGTGGTAATGAGCTATGTGAGGGGCTCAAGAGGTGGTAAGTGGATGTGTGTGGGGCAGTAGTGATGGTAATGAAATGTGTATGGGGCAGTTGTGGTGAAGATGAGCTGTGTGAGGGGCTGGAGTGGTGGTTATGAGCTGTGTGGGGGGCTGGAGTGGTGATATTGAGCTCTTTGGGGGCCTGACATTGTGGTAGTGAGCTGTGTGAGTGGCGGAAATGGTGTGACTGAAATGTGCGAGCAATTTGAGTGGGTGCAGGAGTGCTAAGCTCACCTCTTTGAGCAGGAGATCCGGGTAAGATATCTGCTACACGCTCCATGAAATCCGCTTCGGCGCGTGCACCATTGCACGCAAGTGTGACCACCAATGATGCCTGAGATGATGGTCGCAATCCATGCACTGGGTGGATGTCATATTGCCATAATTCTTCCACATCCGGCCAAGAGACATCCACCCTCACCGGTCCTTCTATCATTTCCACTGCATCCCCACCCTCTTCCGGCCCATCCTGATGATGGCCCATGCCTCGACTATGTATCAACGAAAGCATAACAGGTACATCCACTTTGTCCGCTGCCTCCTCATCATCCCGCTCCTCTAAGTCCCCCACACCTTGACCAGCTGCTTGCACGTTTGTGGCGCTCACGACCTGCTGCAATTCAGGATGTTCCCATTTTGCATCTGCCGGATCCACAAACCGGTATTCAATGCCAAGCTCAGAGCAAATGTCCTCGATCAATTTGTCTTTTCCATTGGACCCACTCACCTTGGCTGGGGCCTTCTTCTGCAACCACCCTCTTAGCTTCACGACCGTATGCATATGCAGGTCCTCTACAACCTTCGCCTTATCAATTTCGACCACTTCCCTCACACGATTTTGCAAGTCGTTTTCAAAGCTCTTGACCACAGATCGTTTTTTGTGCCACCAATCGTGCTGGTGTCCAATCCCTCTGTCCGCAGCCATGGTCCGAAAGGTACTACCCTCATCCGTAACAATACCAGCCACTTCAAACCCCACGTTCTTGAAGAAGTCCATGCCCAAATTGAAGGCAATGCTTTCTAGCCTAGGAGACGATGAATCATGGACATACTTCATCGCAGTCTCTGTGTGAAAAATTTCCCTACTCTCGGGATGAAGAAACGACACAGTGCAATACTCAGCCTCTCGAGCTTGTGAAAATCTGCCATCCGCACTAATGTATCCCACCCCTCCATCCCTCTTACTGAGGGTATCACGCACTGATGCCATAGATTCTTGGGCTGCACGAATGATGGCATTCCACAAACCCTTTTCACCTTGCAACAGTCGGTAAAATGTGCCTTTTCCAGGATTTGGCAGTCCAAGATTGCGACACACTTCCCACATCACTTGAAACCCTAACCCTCCGAGGGCAAACGCACCCACAAACTTTTGCATAAGTTGTATAGACTTTGGCCCCGTCCGGTTCCCATTATGATCGTTTTTTTTTTTTCGGGCTTGTCCATATCTCCGTGCGGCTAGGGCACGTACTACAGTGCCAATACAGACCAAGAGAAGCCCATGAAGTTTTCCATGACACGAGGGACATGCTCCCGCCGCAGCCTTTTCTTGAGCAACTAATCCGCAGTGGTGCTAATGCTTATAGCATGTGTCTTGGCTCCAAGAAACATACCATGTACGGTGACATGTCCGTGACGGCTGGAGCACGTGGCCACCCTCTCGGGACTGGAACTGGAGTATCCTTGAGGGGCCCATCCTGATGAGTATTCCTGGAGGGCCCACCGGCAGGGCGCAATGGGAGGGCACAATCCAGGTCGCAATGGGAGGGCACAAAGCAGGGCGCATTGGGAGGGCACAATCCAGGTCGCAATGGGAGAATACAAGGCAGGGCGCAATGGGAGGGCACAAGGCAGGGCGCAATGGGAGGGCACAAGGCAGGGCGCAATGGGAGGGCACAAGGCAGGGCGCAATGGGAGGGCACAAGGCGGGGCATATGGGGAGGGGGTGGAAAGGCGGAAGGGAGGGGAAGAGTAGGCGGGTGGAGTTGCTACAATGGGCCAGAATTGATTGCTGTGACACTGTGCAGGGACATGCTGGGCGTGTGAAGTGACATGCTGGGCGTGTGAAGTGACATGCTGGGCGTGTGACATACTCGCCAGGGCGGTGATGACTGCATGGTACCAAAGGTGCGTGTGACTGCATGGTGCGCCAAAGGTGCGTGCGCTTGTGACTGCATGGTGCCAAAGGTGCGTGCGCATGGGGCTGCATGGTGCCAAAGGTGCGTGCGCATGGGGCTGCATGGTGCCACAGGTGCGTGCATGTGTCTGTATTCGTATGAGCTCATGCACGCGTGCGGGCATGTGTGGGTGTGTGAGTGCGCAGGCACGCTCGAATGTCTTCACTTCCCACCTATTCATTCAATACCACCCCTAGTTTTACACCTCATTCAACCAACGCTCTCTACGCACTGTCTCACCTTCGGGCTTGTTCTGGTACACCGGCTGCATGGAGTACCGCGTGCTGTTGGATGCTTTCAGTGGTAACAATCGTGCATGGATGAGGCTGCAGGCTTGGAGCAACCCCCTCTGTTTCAGCTCTTGTTGATTGGGCAACCTCTGCGCACACGCCATGTATCAGAGTCATTAGGGTATACACGCACTTGCATTCTACGAGTATATGCGGACTCCAGTTCAGTTTCGGTTCATAAACAGTACAGCCTTCACAAACCCTCCGTCTGAAGCATGCTGCATGGTTGTATGACCTAAATAGCATACTCTTGTGCCAACGCCACGCTGTTGCTCACCTTGTCTCCGCACTCTCTCGAAGGCTTTACCCCTTCGGGCCCCACCCCAACCGTTTCCACGAACAGGGCGTATTTTCCCCTTCTTATCCTCTGTGTAGGGCGGGAAGTTGTAAACCAGTCCCTCGATTGGGCGATCAGCCTTCTCCATTATCCCAGTTACGGCGTTAATACCACTGTTTGCCCGTGCATCGAACTGGCGCCCGTATGCCTCAAGGTGAAGCTCTGCCGTCGCCAATGCATCTCCCCCATGTGTTCCTGCCACGGAACAACAGTGACAGTGAGCATATCCAAACCTTATTGGTTGGCTGCCAGTGCCGTTGTGATGCGCAAAACAATCAGAGTGCTCAACTATCACGGACACACGACCATGCTAGGACTTGGTCACCAACTTTCCACCCTTACCTGCTTCTTTGGCAGCCCGCATCAGCCGTTTGTACGCTGTAGGGGCGTTCATCATGAAGTAGTAAAGAACATCAGCAGTTGTCGCTTCGGTCTTCGCCCCCATCAATGCCGACAACCCGCATCGTTGAAGGCATATGACTGGCCTCATATGCTTGGATATACCGTGAACCGCCTTGTCATGCTCGTCGCTAAGATTCGCTACAGTGGACCCTCCACTTGCAGATGCATCCGTTTTCCTTCCACGCCTGAAGGTTGGGTTTGGAAATGGTGTGTAGGTTTGCGCGGCATGGAATCGCTGGCTGGATATGCGTTACATGGGAGACCCCAACACCAAAGGACAATGACGGACAACTTGTATTTCATGCTGATGAGTGGGTGGTGTTGATGGCTCTGATGAGTGGGTGGTGTTGATGGTGCTGATGAGTGGGTGGTGTTGATGGTGCATGGCATGAGTGGGTGGTGTTGATGGCTCTGATGAGTGGGTGGTGTTGATGGTGCTGATGAGTGGGTGGTGTTGATGGTAACGGAGGGAGATTACTTGAGCGCTAGCAGGTATGTGTTCTAGTACTTGGCATTTGTCGTTGCGGGGGAAGTAGAGGCGACGGGAGGGGGAAGATGAGGCGACGAGAGGGGGAAGTGGAGGCGACGGGAGGGGGAAGATGAGGCGACGGGAGGGGGAAGTTGAGGTGACGGGAGGGGGAAGATGAGGCGACGGGAGGGGGAAGATGAGGCGACGGGAGGGGGAAGTGGAGGCGACGGGAGGGGGAAGATGAGGCGAGGGAGGGGGAAGTGGAGGCGACGGGAGGGGGAAGTGGAGGTGACGGGAGGGGGAAGTTGAGGTGACGGGAGGGGGAAGTGGAGGCGACGGGAGGGGGAAGTGGAGGCGACGGGAGGGGGAAGATGAGGCGACGGGAGGGGGAAGTGGAGGCGACGGGAGGGGGAAGATGAGGCGATGGGAGGGGGAAGTGGAGGCGACGGGAGGGGGAAGTGGAGGTGACGGGAGGGGGAAGTGGAGGCGACGGGAGGGGGGAGTGGAGGCGACGGGAGGGGGAAGTTGAGGTGACGGGAGGGGGAAGTGGAGGGAGGGGGAAGTGGAGGCGACGGGAGGGGGAAGATGAGGCGATGGGAGGGGGAAGTGGAGGCGACGGGAGGGGGAAGTGGAGGCGACGGGAGGGGGAAGATGAGGCGATGGGAGGGTGAAGTGGAGGCGACGGGAGGGGGAAGTGGAGGTAACGGGAGGGGGAAGTGGAGGCGACGGGAGGGGGAAGTTGAGGTGACGGGAGGGGGAAGTGGAGGCGACGGGAGGGGGAAGATGAGGCGACGGGAGGGGGAAGTGGAGGTGACGGGAGGGGGAAGATGAGGCGATGGGAGGGGGAAGTGGAGGCGACGGGAGGGGGAAGTTGAGGTGACGGGAGGGGGAAGTTGAGGTGCCGGGAGGGGGAAGTGGAGGCGACGGGAGGGGGAAGTGGAGGCGACGGGAGGGGGAAGTGGAGGCGACGGGAGGGGGAAGTGGAGGCGACTGGAGGGGGAAGTGGAGGCGACGGGAGGTGGAAGTGAAGGCGACGGGAGGGTTCAAGTGTAGGCGACGGGAGGAGAAAGCGATGACGACGGAGGGTGAATTGAAGATATTTATTTCAGTGTTTGATATTCCGCCGAATTCCGCTGCTTTCAGAATGCGCCAACGTTCGTGCCATGTCTACAGCTTTTAGATACCTTCGGGAAGCACCCTTGGAAGGTCGATGGGCCATATTCCCTATCTCGCCGTCCCGAATAAGGTGTTTCTGTTTGTTGATGAGGGTCGCCTGACGTTCTATCTCTCAAGCACAACCTTTGTTGCTGTCGTAATGCTAAGAATTTGACAGTTTTATCGTACACTGCGCAAGTGTGCTTGCTCGTGCCGCCTACTTTAGTTGGCTGCTATATGCAGTAAGTAACTAGTGGGCCTCATGGTTTGTTGTTGGAAACGCAGGTCGTGGTGTTGTGTGTGTGACAGTGCAAGAGCTGCGGAAGTGTTGTGTTGTGTGTTTTTGGGTCGCGATGTGTGGCTCGCCGTGCGACAATTTCTATTGGCTGGTTTCCTGTTGTTTGACTGGGCAGTTCGCTAAACAATTCGCGAATGCGCTCCCTGGGTGTGCCTTCTTTCGACTCCCAACTTTCGCTTTCACACCCCTCGCCACCCGTTGAACCCAATTGCCAAGTTTTTAAAACTTGTGCAATTTGGGCTGCCGGCTTTAAAACCCGCAGCCTGAATTACAAAAACGAGTCAACGCTTGGTTTGGGAAGAGGTTGGGGAGAGAGCCGGGTGGTTGGGTGACACTTTTGGGGTGGCGAAACCAATTTGCGAACACACAAGTGTCGCAACATAGAATCTGGGCGACGGAAACCAATACAATGAGGGAGGGATGTGACCTACAGAACCTCCGTCGACAAAAAACCAGCACACCATTACTAGCTACTAACTTAGACACGAAAGTATCGAATCTTAGTGTCCTCCAAGCGGCAGCACACAAATTCAGTAGTTACATTGCGCGAACATTCTTACATTAGGGTTTTATTGCGAACACATTTCAGACAACCGGAATCCCTAGGTGCAGCGTGGCCACGCTGTCGAAGCACGGAGCAAATAGGCGTGAGGAGACGAGAAATTCGCGCTTTGCCCCCCTGTGCTGACCCTCGCCCATCGCCCTTGCCCTGCCCGCCCACCGCCCGTCGCCCTCGCCGCCTAGCCGCCCGTCGACCTCGCTTCCCTCGCCCATCGCTCTCGCTTTCCCCGCCTACCACCCTCGCCTCGCCTGTCCCCCTCGCCGCTTCCCCGCCCGCCGCCCTCGCATCCGCCCGTCACCCGCCCTTCTGCCCGTCGCCCTCCCTTCCGCCCACCGTCCTTCCTTCCCCTCGTCGCGCTCCCTCCCGCCCGTCGCCCTCCCTTCCGCCCGTCGCCCTCCCTTCGTCTCGTCGCCCTCCCGTCCTCCCGTTGCCTTCCCTTCCGCCCGCCGCCCTTCTTTTCCCTCGTCGCGCTCCCTTCCCCCCGTTGCCCCCCTTCGTCTCGTCGCCTCTCTGTCGCTCGTCGCCCTCCTTCCCGCTCGTCCCCTCGCAATCCCCGTCTCTCTCTCCCCCCGTCGCCCTCTCTTTCCCCGTCGCCCTCCCATCCACTCCTCGTTGTCCTCGCCATCCCTCCCTTCTCCCTTCTCATCTCGCACACTTGTCACGCCCCCTTTCCCACCTGCACATGCACCCTTCCCATTCCCGAATAATCGCCTTTCACCCCCACACTGCATACATCTCTCCCTTTTCCCCCCATCAATCGCCCTGCTCCCCACCGTCCTCCCCCCAGCTCTCTCCCCGGCATCTCCCTCGCTCCCCACGTCCCCTTCCCTGCTTCCCCCCATCCCCTTCCGTGCTTCCCCCATCCCCTTCCGTGCTTCCCCCCATCCCCTTCCGTGCTTCCCCCCCATCCCCTTCCCTGCTTCCCCCCATCCCCTTCCGTGCTTCCCCCCATCCCCTTCCCTGCTTCCCCCCATCCCCTTCCGTGCTTCCCCCATCCCCTTCCGTGCTTCCCCCCATCCCCTTCCGTGCTTCCCCCCATCCCCTTCCGTGCTTCCCCCCCATCCCCTTCCCTGCTTCCCCCCATCCCCTTCCGTGCTTCCCCCAATCCCCTTCCGTGCTTCCCCCCATCCCCTTCCGTGCTTCCCCTCATCCCCTTCCGTGCTTCCCCCCATCCCCTTCCGTGCTTCCCCCCATCCCCTTCCGTGCTTCCCCCCGTCCCCTTCCGTGCTTCCCCCCATCCCCTTCCCTGCTTCCCCCCATCCCCTTCCGTGCATCCCCCCATCCCCTTCCGTGCTTCCCCTCATCCCCTTCCGTGCTTCCCCCCATCCCCTTCCGTGCTTCCCCCCATCCCCTTCCGTGCTTCCCCCTGTCCCCTTCCGTGCTTCCCCCCATCCCCTTCCCTGCTTCCCCCCATCCCCTTCCGTGCTTCCCCCCGTCCCCTTCCGTGCTTCCCCTCATCCCCTTCCGTGCTTCCCCCCATCCCCTTCCGTGCTTCCCCTCATCCCCTTCCGTGCTTCCCCCCATCCCCTTCCGTGCTTCCCCCCATCCCCTTCCCTGCTTCCCCCCGTCCCCTTCCGTGCTTCTCCCCATCCCCTTCCCTGCTTCCCCCCATCCCCTTCCGTGCTTCCCCTCATCCCCTTCCGTGCTTCCCCCCATCCCCTTCCGTGCTTCCCCTCATCCCCTTCCGTGCTTCCCCTCATCCCCTTCCGTGCTTCCCCCCATCCCCTTCCGTGCTTCCCCCAATCCCCTTCCGTGCTTCCCCTCATCCCCTTCCGTGCTTCCCCCCATCCCCTTCCCTGCTTCCCCCCATCCCCTTCCGTGCTTCCCCCCATCCCCTTCCGTGCTTCCCCCCGTCCCCTTCCGTGCTTCCCCCCATCCCCTTCCGTGCTTCCCCCCATCCCCTTCCGTGCTTCCCCCCGTCCCCTTCCGTGCTTCCCCCCATCCCCTTCCCTGCTTCCCCCCATCCCCTTCCGTGCTTCCCCCCGTCCCCTTCCGTGCTTCCCCCCATCCCCTTCCGTGCTTCCCCTCATCCCCTTCCGTGCTTCCCCCCATCCCCTTCCGTGCTTCCCCTCATCCCCTTCCGTGCTTCCCCTCATCCCCTTCCGTGCTTCCCCCCATCCCCTTCCGTGCTTCCCCCAATCCCCTTCCGTGCTTCCCCTCATCCCCTTCCGTGCTTCCCCCCATCCCCTTCCGTGCTTCCCCCCCATCCCCTTCCCTGCTTCCCCCCATCCCCTTCCGTGCTTCCCCCCATCCCCTTCCCTGCTTCCCCCCATCCCCTTCCCTGCTTCCCCCCATCCCCTCCCTGCTTCCTCCATCCTCTCGCACTCTCACTCTCCTTCCCCCACCCTCTGCCCTGTTCCCACCTAGCTTCCCCCCATCCCTGCCTTTTCCTCCCACCCTCCTTCCCCCACTCTCCTTCCTCCTGCACTCTCTCCCTCCGTCCTCTCGCACTCTCACTCTCCTGCACCCTCTGCCCTGTTCCCACGTGCCCTCCCCATCCCTGCGTTTTCCCTTCCCTCCCCCAGCCGTTCACAACCCTTCCCTTCCTTTTCATGCCCTACCCTTCCCCCTCACTCCTCACCTTCCACCCTCTAATGCCCATGCATGCTTGCTCACTCTCTTACAGGTGCCCAGCACCAGATGTGGCTTTACCACAGCCTGGTTTATTGCTTGCAGTGTAGCAGACAAAACCGGGAAGCAACATTAGACGCACACCCCCTATCTTTGTTCTTTTCTCGTGTCGAGTGATTCCCCTTGCTTTACAGATATGGTGATATATTGTTTGTTGAACTCCTTGGTATTGGTCGTGTGTATGACTGCTCTGAGGCTCATAATGCTGTATTATATATAAACAAAAAAGTTCCAATACATGGCATGGCTATACGTCGTGTTACTATCAGACAGCCAGCCCATCACAACCAGATGCATAGCAGACCTGTCCAAACACAAACCAAGAAGTCAGATGTGACGTGGCTGAAGTACGGTATAAGGGAAACAAGCATGCAAAATGACAACTGGCAAATGAGGAAGGGAGGAACGGAGGCGACGGAAGTGAGGACTGCAGGAATGAAGGAAGGGAGGAAGTGATGATGGGAGGAAGGGAGGTATGGAGGACGTTTGGGGAAGAAGCAGAAGGGAGGGGAGGAAGAGAGGCTGGGGAGGAGGGTGGGGAGGAGAAAGGGTGGCAGGGAGGAAATGAGGATGGAGGATGGGAGGAACAGAGGGAGGTGCGGCGGAATGGGGTGACCTTGAGGTGGGGTGGGGCGGAATGGGGTGCTCTTGGGATGGGGTGATGCGGTATGGGGCAGAGGGTGGGGGGAAGGAGGGCAGAGGGTGGGGGGAAGGAGGGCAGAGGGTGGGGGAAGGAGGGCAGAGGGTGGGGGAAGGAGGGCAGAGGGTGGGGGAAGGAGGGCAGAGGGTGGGGGGAAGGAGGGCTGAGGGTGGGGGGAAGGAGCGTTGAGGTTGGGGGAAGGAGGCGTGAGGGTGGGGGGAAGGAGGGCTGAGGGTGGGGGGAAGGAGGGCTGAGGGTGGGGGGAAGGAGGGCTGAGGGTGGGGGGAAGGAGGGCAGAGGGTGGGGGGAAGGAGGGCTGAGGGTGGGGGGAAGGAGGGCTGAGGGTGGGGGGAAGGAGGGCTGAGGGTGGGGGGAAGGAGGGCAGAGGGTGGGGGGGAAGGAGGGCTGAGGGTGGGGGGAAGGAGGGCAGAGGGTGGGGGAAAGGAGGGCTGAGGGTGGGGGGAAGGAGGGCAGAGGGTGGGGGGAAGGAGGGCTGAGGGTGGGGGGAAGGAGGGCTGAGGGTGGGGGGAAGGAGGGCTGAGGGTGGGGGGAAGGAGGGCAGAGGGTGGGGGGGAAGGAGGGCTGAGGGTGGGGGGAAGGAGAGCAGAGGGTGGGGGGGAAGGAGGGCTGAGGGTGGGGGGAAGGAGAGCAGAGGGTGGGGGGAAGGAGGGCTGATCTGCGTCGCGTCGCAGAGCACCTCATCTCGCGTAGCTCTGCACAGCAGAGCAGAATAGAACAGCGCACTGCACAGCACTGCAGAGCAGAACAGAGCACACAACCGCACAGCAGAGCATGTTGTGTTGTGGCTCACCTGTAGCACGAGCACAGCAGCAGCTGTAGCACGCGCTTCCGGTTGTCCCTGTTGGGCTGAGGGTGTGGGGGCGGGAAGGGGAGAAACATGGGAGAGGGGGCGGGAGAAGAATAGGATCAAGGCTATGGAGGGAAATAAGGGAGAGGGCGATCGGGAGAGGAAACGGGGAACGTGCGGTGAGGGATGGGGAGGCGACGGAAGGGAGTGCGCATGGGCGGCGGAAGGGAGTGCGCATGGGCGGCGGAAGGGAGTGCGCATGGGCTCCGGAAGGGGTTGCGTGTGGGCGACGGGAGGGAGTGCGTGTGGGCGACGGCAGGGAGTGCGAGTGGGCGACGGAAGGGAGTGCGTGTGGGCGACGTAAGGGAGTGCGTGTGGGCGACGGAAGGGAGTGCGTGTGGGCCACGGGAGGGAGTGCGTGTGGGCGACGGCAGGGAGTGCGTGTGGGCGACGGAAGGGAGTGCGCATAGGCGACGGAAGGGAGTGCAGTTAGGCGACGGGAGGGAGTGCGCATGGGCTTCGGACGGGAGAGCGCATGGGTGACGGAAGGGAGTGCGTATGGGCGACCGAAGGAAGTGCGGGTGGGCGACGGAATTGGAGTTTATCGTGCGGGATAGAGGGGAGTGAGCTGGGCGACGGGAAGAGGGTGAGCGTGGGCTACCTCAAGGAGTGAGGAGGGGCGTAAGAGGCGTTGCGCGAAGGCGAAGGGAGGGGAGGGAGCGTGATCGGACGTCGGGTAAGAAGCGTGAGGGACGGGAGGGAGTGCTCATACTCTGTTGAGGGGTGTGCGCGAAGGCGTCGGGAGGGGAGTGCGCGAAGGCGTCGGGAGGGGAGTACGCGAAGGCGTCGGGAGGGGAGTGCGCTATGGCGGTAGCGGGAAGTGTGCGACGGCGACGGGCCGCGTGGGCGACGGAGGGGCATGAACCCGCGCAACGGCGACGATAAGAATGTCGCAAAGTCTGTGTAACGCGGAATGCTCTACTCTGGACAGTGCCGGGCGCGGCTAGAAACAACCGCGACATCGATGCGCCTGGCGAAAAGGAAGTGAAACCGCGGTCGACGATGGGCATGTGCACGTAAATGGTTCCTGCTCTTCCCGTGCAGTGAGTCCGCGATGTAAGGCGTGCGGATAGCAAAGGCGACTCAGCTCGTCGGAGAGCAGGCGATATACCAGAGCGTGTTGCGGAACCCTAAACTGACGTGGAAGTCGGCGCGCTGAGTCTCTTCTAAGCTATGACTTGCCCAAGTTTGGCCCTGAACTCTGTGTTTTTTGTCGACCTGAATTACAGATTTTGAGCTTGGTGTGCACACCTCCCCCAAGAGTGGTGGTGAGACCCCTGCGATCCTTCCCTACGCACCCTGCGACTTTCCTCACGTTTTGGAGGTGAGACCTGGTAACCACCCTGGTTCGGGAGGGGGGGGTGTTAACACCTCCAACTTTTTTTGTAATTCAGGCTGCGGGTTTTAAGATGGTATTAGAGTAGGTGATTCTTCTCCCTCCCACGCTTCCGCTCCCTCCCTTAGCCGGTCCCGAGGCGCCCGTCCTTTAGGCTCCGCCTCGTCGCGGGTAGGACGGCCCCCGCGGGCCTCGTTTTTCGTCGCGTTTAAAGGGCCCCGCTGGCCCTCGTTTCATCGCGCTCCAGCAGGGACCCCCCCCCGCGGGCCCGCGTAGTCGTGCTTAGCCCGCAACAGCCGCGCGTGCAAGCAGCAGGCACGCACGCACCAGCAGCAGCAGCGCGCGTGTTAGCCAGCGGCAGTCGCGCATGCCACTGCTGCACGCGCATTGCAGCAGCAGCGCTCACATTGCGGCAGCAGCGCATGCATTGCTGCAGCAACGCGTGCATTGCTGCAGCAGCGCATCCCAAAAATTGGTGCTTCAGAAACTTTACGTTGGGGTATCATCAGAGTTGCGGGGGGGTTTGTTTTTGAGGAGCTATGGCGAGGGCAAAGTGAGGATCAGTCGTCAAGAAATTTTGTTGGGCATATGGGTGTCCACTTCTTGATTTTCCTTGGTGGACATCCACACTATGTCTCTCCACTGCGAGATCGCGAGCAGTGAGTCTGATGCTTTTCGTTTTGCGAGGGTTGCCTAGTTTCTGAAAATACGTTTTGGAGTGGAAAGGAATTGGGAAGTTGAGAAATATCTGAAGTGGTAGTTGCGATTTGGCATCTTGACCCCCTTTGCCAGGTGGTTGTCGTTTTTGCTCAACATGGGGCGTTGACTATGCAAACCCCTGTCATTTTGCACAGCTGTCGAATCTGATTGTCCAACTGTCGAATCTGATTGTGCAACTGTCGATACTGTAAAATCTTGCAAGTGGAGTGTTGTCGTATTTTCCTTTAGGCTCGGTGCTTGACTTGAGTCACATCCTCATCTTGTGGTGCTCCCGAACAAGCATGTTAGGTTTGGCGCACGTATGTTAAGTGTTTCGTTGACGTAGCTTTGAATCTCACCACGTTTTTCGTTTCGATTCTCCCACATTCCAGGTAGGTTCAAGATTCGCTGACGAAAACCTAACGTCAAGACACGAAATTGGTTACTGTTTCTGTGTTGGACGCGAAAAGAATCAGTGGGTCTACGTGTCTGATTCCTGAAGGCCGGAATTTTTGCTGGTATCATCACTAAGAACTGCCTCGCTACATTTTGAATGCCTGAAAATCTATGCTATTATAAATTTGACACATCTATCAGCTGTAACAAGTAGGGACGGAATGCACGTTGCCCTTTCTCACCCTCTCACTCACTGCACGTTGCCCTTTCTCACCCTCTCACTCACTGCACGTTGCCCTTTCTCACCCTCTCACTCACTGCACGTTGCCCTTTCTCACCCTCTCACTCACTGCACGTTGCCCTTTCTCACCCTCTCACTCACTGCACGTTGCCCTTTCTCACCCTCCCACTCACTGCACGTTGCCCTTTCTCACCCTCCCACTCACTGCACGTTGCCCTTTCTCACCCTCCCACTCACTGCACGTTGCCCTTTCTCACCCTCCCACTCACTGCACGTTGCCCTTTCTCACCCTCTCACTCACTGCACGTTGCCCTTTCTCACCCTCTCACTCACTGCACGTTGCCCTTTCTCACCCTCTCACTCACTGCACGTTGCCCTTTCTCACCCTCTCACTCACTGCACGTTGCCCTGCACTCTGCACGCCACTCTTCCCACCTTCCACTCCCCACTCACCGCCCGACTTCTCCGGGTGGAATTGCACGGCCTGCACGTTGCCCTTCCTCACTGCCGCCACGTACGCCTCGCCATAGTTGGCCATCGCCAGCACCCACTCGCTGTTCCCAGGGGTCTGGGGGTGAGAAGAAAGGGAGGGGGAGGGGGGAGGGAGGAGCGGGAGGGAGGGTTATATGCATGGGTGGTACAACACATATGGTACGTGGAAGGTACTACCGCTGCGGACATACGGCTCGCCATAGTTGGGCGTCGCCAGCACCCACTCGCTGTTGTCAGGGGTCTGGGGGGTAGGCCATGTGAGAGGGGGATGGGAGGGGGGGTAGGCCATGTGAGAGGGGGATGGGAGGGGGGGTAGGCCATGTACGGTGAGTGCCATGGCTGCTCGTACGGCTTGTCTCTGCTGTCGCCAGCACCCACTCGCTGTTTTCGGGGATCTGGGGGGAAAGGGAGTGGAGAGGGGTGCGACGGGGTGTATGGCGGTGAGGGGGAGGGGAGGGAGTGGAACCCAACTGTCTTAGGCTCCCTAGGCTGGGGTGACGCGCAGATTTCATGTGGGGAAAGGAGGGAGGGAGTCAACTTTGGGCATTCTCACAAGTGACACGACAAGCATGGGCTAGGCGGGGCTGAAACACTGCCCGCATGTGGGGAGAGAGGATGCTTAGCGCAGCGAGCCCTTAGCCTGCACTGCACTGCAGTGCCCTTAGCCTGCACTGCACTGCAGTGCCCTTAGCCTGCACTGCACTGCAGTGCCCTTAGCCTGCACTACACTGCAGTGCCCTTAGCCTGCACTGCACTGCAGTGCCCTTAGCCTGCACTGCACTGCAGTGCCCTTAGCCTGCACTGCACTGCAGTGCCCTTAGCTTGCACTGCACTGCAGTGCCCTTAGCCTGCACTACACTGCAGTGCCATTAGCCTGCACTGCACTGCAGTGCCCTTAGCCTGCACTGCACTGCACTGCACTGCACTGCCCTTAGCGTGCACTGCACTGTAGTGCCCTTAGCCTGCACGACACTGCAGTGCCCTTAGCCTACACTACACTGCAGTGCCCTTAGCCTGCACTACACTGCAGTGCCATTAGCCTGCACTACACTGCAGTGCCCTTAGCCTGCACTGCACTGCAGTGCCCTTAGCCTGCAATACACTACAGTGCAGTGCGACCCTAAATACCCCTCCTAGACAGCAGCTCCTAGACAGCACTGTCACTAAATACCCCTCCTAGACAGCACAGTCCCTAAATACCCCTCCTAGACAGCACAGTCACTAAATACCCCTCCTAGACAGCACAGTCCCTAAATACCCCTCCTAGACAGCACAGTCCCTAAATACCCCTCCTAGACAGCACAGTCCCTAAATACCCCTCCTAGCAGTGAGTGAGAGGGTGAGGAGGGGCAACGTGCAGTGAGTGGGAGGGTGAGAAGGGGCAACGTGCAGTGAGTGAGAGAGTGAGGAGGGGCAACGTGCAGTGAGTGAGAGGGTGAGGAGGGGCAATGTGCAGTGAGTGAGAGGGTGAGGAACGGCAACGTGCAAGCTGTGCAGTTCCACCCTGGGAAGTCAGGCGGTGCGATGTGGGGAGGGGTGAGGCAGTCAAGGCAGGAGGGGGGGGAGTGGAAGTACGGTGATTGCAGTTGAAACGCTGATGATCACCAGGCTGAAGCGCCTTGGTGAATATATCAGCGGTTTTGTCCCGAGTGGCCACGTAAGCAAGACGAAGCTGACCACGCTGCTGCAACTTTCGAGCAAGGAAGTAACGCAGAGTGATGTGCTTCGTCCGATGCTCCAGTCTGTGCTCCTGACACAAGGCTACCATGGCCTTGTTGTCCACGTACCGAATTGGAGGAGAACGAGGCCGCTCTCCTAAGTCTGTCAGCAGGTAGGTGAGCCAGCATAACTCCTGTGCAGCCATGGCCCCTATGTAGATCTCAGCCTCACAACTGGAACTGAGAACAGAAGACGAACGGGTAGACCGCCAAGAAACAGAGCCAGAGCAAAGGCTGAAAGTGTAACCCTGTGACGACCGCTGCGTAGCCAGGTCGTCAACCCAAGACGCGTCTGCGTGTCCAGTGAGGACAACTGGACCTCGTCCTCCAAGCACGAGCCCCATGCCTGATGTACTGCACAAGTAGTGCAACACCCTCTTAGCGGCCTCCCAATGCTCTTGTCGGTGTCTCTCGGGCGCAACGTAGCGTGCCAGGATGCTAAGAGGGTAGGCAAGGTCAGGTCGAGTGCAGGTCATCAGGTACATGAGGCAGCCCACAAGCTCTGGATACGGGCCACTCGGCCCTATGGACTCGTCCGAAGGTGGAGCTGAGAGCGAGTGACCGGTAGGCAC